AAAATTTTAGGAATAAAATTTACTCAAATTTAAAAAAAATATATTTAAATAAGATACTCAAGATACGCTAAGACATGCCCTATAGTTCAAGTTGTACATTATACACTGAAAAAATTATTAAATATGTTCTAGTCTTCGTCTTCGCCGATGTTCGTATCGTTTCTTGTGCACGTCGAGTTTTATTTATCTCTATCTTTAGAGAAATGAGGCTAGAATCAAATTAAACGTGTTCGGGATAGATTCGGGATATATTTTTCACATTCGAATCTGTTTTATTATTATTATTAATATTATACAGTTATATATGTTTTTTTGTATGAGTGGATAATTAAGTATATCCATTGAGTGGACCACAATTGTCTGGTTTACGTGCAGATTCAAACCGGCCAAGGCTCCCATGCACGCTGGTCGTCCGGGAGACTCCTAACTTTTTTTACGTTTCAACAAAAAATATGTTTTAGAAGTATTGCGACAATGACAGTCCCGAATCAGTCAAAATGGGAAATGTTTTATACCTTTTCCAAAAATTCGAAATAGATAAAGATAAAGACGATACAGTTTATAAGTATAATTACTATCTATTTATCAGTGATAACATTGTATCTACATCAATGTCAGGTTTACCGGGAAAATACCACGTTTATTTAACTTCCCCCCAACGGCACCTAGATCGGTAAAAAAGTATCTATGAATTGTAAAATAATTTACCTACACTGACAAGTGATAAACAAGGATTTTTATAAATTTGTAGTATAAAGTATGGTCTATAGTTAATTTCCACAAGAATATAATTTTAAAATAAAAAAAAAAATGGTGTGTGTGTGTGTGTTTGGGTGGGTAACTTGTTTAACTGCATGTGCTCTCAAAATACCCCTGTGTACCACTACTTATTTTGCATAATATTTTAACAATCAGTGACATATATCAATGTTTGCAAGTAGAAGCTTAGGTGTACTCTTAAAATGTTAGATTTCAATGTGTAAAAAGAACTATCTATTTTTATCTAGAAAAAAATGTATTTACCATTTATCTTTCTCTATATATATTTTTTTCCTGTTATCTTTATCTTTATCTAGATAAAAAAGTACTTATCTAATCCCAGCACTACAGTAAGTTTCTACATACAAAATATCTAATTTGATATCTATTCAATATAATGTATTATTGTGTTAACCTGTGTATCATACATGTATATGGATTTTCACAACTCTCACTCATTTTTCTAGTAGAAATTTAGATATCTACAGTAGAATAGAACCTACATACATAAACGTAAAAATTCTATAAGTTTATTTTCTGCTGTGTTTTAGTGTTCAATTTGTTTCGTGTTGTAAAGCAATTTCATCAATGTCTTCTATAATGCTAGGTAATATTATTTAGATAAGATAAATCTATATCTTATATTCTAAGTTCAACCTCATTTTTTTTTTATTTATTCTCATAGAGTTGTAAAACAATTTCAAAAGTACCATGTACAATGTACCATTAAATTATAAAAAAAAACTCCTTTATTGTACTGAAAACATTTTTTTTTCTTTAAATACACCAGAAAAAAATCAAGTAGAAATGTGAAAACAGTAAAACAAATGTGAAAAATATGAGCAAATGTTGGAGCAAACTGCAAACACCCACCCTTCATGAACTTTTTCGAATAAATTAATTATCATTGCATTACAATGTAATGTAAGGTATTAACACCTGGTTCAGTGTCCCAAGCAAGTACCTCATCAATTTATATCCTAACTTTGCACCGTAACAAAGAACTTATAATTGTACCTATATAATATCTACACTTTCAAAATTTTTTTTAAAGACTCGTATATAAATTCATCCAAACCAAGCATTGGTTCAAAATTTGTCGATTTGTTGATGGAGTATTATTTTAACTTTTAATTAACATTATAAAAATAGATAATTAATTTAATCAAAGTAGCACTGTCAACTGAATATTAAAATTTAAGTTGCATCAGGACACTTGAAAAATATCTAAAAATATAATAAAATAAATCTGAGGCAAACTAATAAGGCGATTTTTGTGTTTATAAAAATATACCTAACTTACTGTGTTTTAAAATATTTCAATGATTATCTATTTAGTTAGAAATTAATACCGACCGACCTACATGTTTTGTTTTAATATGAATTGTATAGGTACTTCGGTTCATATTTTATTTACACTTGCAGCATTATAAAAAATATCAATAAAATACGTTTTCAAATTTTAAATAAAACGCATAACATGATGAAATTTATTGCATTTAATTTCGTAAAGATTTTCACAGAACTCGTTGAATTAAATGTAATACCACAAATTACAGCATGACTGTCTGCAATAAAAAAAACATTTGATGAGTTTTTTGGAATAGGTCATAAATAATGTGAGCAGTAAAACTTTAACATAATAGTATTGAAAAAGCGGCAAATGGTTTATTGTTAGTATAAAATAAAAACAAAACATTTTCCCTATTATCTACTAGATTATAATATAACGAAAAAAAAGTAATTTAACTAAAATTCATAATAATAATGAATAAAGACCTTCTAAAGTCCTACAATACAATGGTGTAGTTATGTTTAACAGTTCTTTTATGTCAGTCTAAAAATTGTAATATTTATATTATATTATAATTTAACCTAAAGTATTATGGTTATTATAGACATTTTGATGGAAATTTTTTTTGTTTTTTATCAGAACTAGTCTTAGATTACGCCTAGGAAAAAAACACAGTTTTTAAACTTACACAATCGACTGACTACAACTTTCGTGAAATTAACGAAACCGCTAAATGCCTATTATACTACGATATTTCCTCATACAATTAGTATGTAGTGTGCGGATTAAATCAATTAGCAATCACTCCGTCATTATCAAAGTTCACCGCTTTGCGACGCATAATTTTGTAATATTATTCGCGGAGAACGAACGTGTGACGGAACGAAGACGATACGTTCGAAATAATTGGTCAAACGAACGAAAACGTTAGGTACCAAACTGAATTAGAGCAAAACTCTCTTGTCTTGCCTATCTTATAATTGATTAATTGGTTTGAAAGAAAAGCGGTTTATACCATGTTAGATCTCGTTGAACTTGTGCAGGGTATAAAACGACAGTGTGTCATTTGCTTTTCGTAAAAAACGCAGATATTAAGTAAAATATTATGTTTATGGCTGACTACGAACCGTTTACAACTGAAAGCAGGACGCAAACGTCAGGCGACGAACAACTTGTCAGGACGATAAAACGCAACAGACGCAAAACGTATAAACCGTACCTCCCCCCTCCTCCCCAAACGTGGTCAGACGAGCGTATAAAACAATGAAAGGTCGGCCGGGTTTAGAAATTAAAATTTTGCTGAAATTTGAAAAAAGTAATCGTCTCCGAATGATCGATTTGCATCTGTTCAACTGCACGAGCATCGCTGAGGGGTGAAGAAAATCCAGTTTCGTTAATTTAGGGCTATTCATATAGGTACCGATAATATTATAAAATGTGTCAAACCAATAGCGTATGAACCGGATGCCTATCATCGCGTGATCCGCCGAGACATTGTAAACGTGGATAGTGGCGTATTTAAGTGGGGATCAAAAAGATTGACACCCCCCCCCCCCCCCCCACCATAACATGTATATAATATGCAACATTTTTCGGAGTCCTAACTTAAGGTCTCTAGCTTTAAAAGCGGGATTACTGGATAAAATCCTATCCCCCCCCCCACCCACAATGACAACAACCTAAATACGCCACTGAACGACGACTTTTTTTTTTACCTCGTGGAATTCGATCGTTTCAAGTGAGACCACATTGTACGATTGGTATATTTAGTGTGGAGCATGATATGAATTGGTTTTGTACACGGTGTGTTCTTTTGTACTCTATTGTCTATTGTATACGGGATTTGTAGGATTAACCGTTTTTAATTTCATTCGCAAAACCCAATGGCGACATCAAGGTATAGGATTCAGTTAACTGTTAATGCTAAGGGATGTTGCAGGTGTCCGTAGAACATATTGCATATTACGAGACGTTTTAATTTTCTGGAAAATGAGTTGATATAAGTACTAAATTATAATAATAATATTATGTCAGACGTAATTTAACAGTGTTATATCGGTTGTTGAAACGTGTGTAGGACTCGTGTCCATCACCCATTGAACCGTCCAACTAAGGAAATATTTATAATCTAACGATTTATGATTTATATGCCAATTCTGTAATAAATTATGTTTTGTCTTTTAGAGTATAGTCGACGTTAATTTGGTGGTACAATTTTCTTCTCGTTCATATGAAATGAAATCTCTTGCAGGTGCAAACCAAATTCATAACAAAAAATAAATAAAACGATAGTACAAGTGTACAACGTACACGCAGTGCATAATATTATAATATCAAGAGCAATCGTAGGCAGCTTATAAGTCCAATAATTTCTATAAAACTCAGAACATAATGTCATACAATCCAGCTATTAAGTATGAAGGCCTAACCTAACCTAATAGTCGAGATACATGTGTGCGTAATATTATTGTTGTGTTTTTAATAACTCTAGCTATTCGAGAGGGGGGGGGGCACGGCCAACTGCGTTGCGGCTGCTTAATGTGGTAGAATCCAATTTCGTTTATTTAATATGTCTACCTACTAAAACAGTGCTATTGAATTTCACAAAATTCAACGCCTATTCATTCGGCTTATACGGTTTTAAAACATGAAATATGTGTAATTGAGCAATAACATAATAATAATATACGCAGTTGACGTTTGCTAGCTAGTGGAAAACTTGCCCATTACTTCCGGAGCTGGACGTCCGTGCGTGAGGCGGCAGAACGGTAATTTTCCGTCGCTCGTGATGACCGGACAAATCACGTTACGAGTCTGTCCCTACAGGTACACACACACACACACACACACACACACACACACACACACACATAAACCCCTAATTTGATTTCATCCGTTCTTCCGTTTTTGTTTCCGTTCCCGACCTAACGCGCACGTCGTTCCCGCGATGCGAAGGCGAACCGATGACGACAAACACGTCCGACCGTCGATGTCCCAAGTAAGGAGCCCATCCTAATACAATACGAGACGACCGGAGTCCACAATAATAAAAAAAATTCCAGACGTGTTGCATCATAATATTATTTACGTATGAGATTTCAACCCTTCCTAGCACAGCCCAACCCCACAACTCCCTGGCAACGAGATCGTATTGAATCTGTATGGAATTGAACTCTCTGTGGTCTCTTCTCTCTCTCACACTCACTCTCCTTCGCTCTCACACTCAATAACTTCTACAACGGAATGGTTTTCATCGTTAATTTTTTTTTTTTATACATATTATAATATATATTTTATTCGTTTATTTGACTTTAACGCTAGTTTATGGTTATTACTGTCGCCCATATACCGTTTATAGTAAACGAGAACATAACGAAATACGCTATGGAAATTGATATCGTGTAGAATTTTTTTCATTTTTACGACCAAGCGCCTCCAACGATCAGCACTGTTGTTAAAACGTCGTGGCAGAGGTGACGAAGACGATTGTCGAATACGCCGACGACTGAATCTCGGCGGCCGCTATTCGTACTTAAGAATTTGTTTTTGTAGGTATACTTTTCCGTAATAAATAAAAATCGATTTTATGGTCCCATTTATCGCTTTGTTTGTATATTTGAATAAATAATATTATTTATATTCCTGGAGTCGGTCCCTTGTTCCGATTAATTCACAATTCAGTAGCATCTCTCATCTCGTTCGAAAAGTCGTCCCAAAACAAACAATTAACACGTAACCTAACTCGATACAGTACACAAACACAAGTCACACATAGTTTCGAATTAACGCTGAAATATACTCCTGAATGAATTAGTTAGTTTTAATTAATTTTGTTCTTACACCCGCGTTGTTGGGATATAACGATAATACGATTATTGAATTTTCTTTGAAGAACATTATTTTATTTTTTTAAATATACCATTCGAAACCGCAAGTAAAATATATTTGCATTGAATTCAGTTCGTTAAAACTTTTTATTTGAAGACATTGAAGTTTTTAATGAAACATATAAAACTGAACTGAATGAATGTATAACGAATTCGGAATGATCAAAGTTTGAAAACAATAATTATAATTACACGAAATATTGACAATATCAATCTTTAGATCGATAAAGCTTAAGAACAAAACACAATAATTCTATTATTTATTTTTCAAGTTAAAAACCTCGTATAAATACAACAAATCGTATCAATACATCAAAAGTGTAATGCCTAAGGCACATGTGTCATGATGTGGAAGAGTTATAAAAATAAAAAAATCTTACTATTTATGGTTTAAAATCATGATTTAAAGTTTTTGATATTTCTTTTAGATCGGTTGGATGAAAGCCGAAGATCAAACAATATTAACGTTCCATGAGCGTGTAGTGGCTTCAAACGGTCGATTCAGCGTAAGTCATGAGAATTACAGAACTTGGTATTTACACATAAGAGACGTGGAGGAAACAGACAAAGGCTGTTACATGTGTCAAGTAAACACCCTCGAAATGCAAAAACAAATCAGCTGTTTAGACGTCTTAGGTAAGTGGACAATACAAAAAATACTAGGTATTTTATTATTATACAGCTATTATCTTCAAGACTGTAACTTAAAAGTTTCCAAACTACGCCCCACGGACCACTTCTGGAAAAAAAATGAACTGCTCGTAATATTATTATCTTGTTAATTATATATTTATATATATATATATATATATTTTTTTTTGAAGCACAATTATAGTCTTCCATTAATATAATATGTTTAACATAATTACAATCCATTTTTTAATTAATATTTAAATTAATATTTAAATATATTAATTAATATTTATTTACTTATAAGTTATAATATTCCTTGCATATTCCCATTTCTCAGATTTTAATTTTTTATATGGTCCTCAAAAAAAAATAGTTTGGAGACTTTTGTGGCGTAATCAGTCAAAGTTGGAAATTAATCATTACCACTAAATAATAATATGTATTGCAAAAGTGTCTCGTATTTCATAATAATTGTATCAGTATTACAATTACAATTAAATAATATTATAATATATTTATAACAGTTACCCACCACCACATATTGCTCTACCAATTATAACCTTGGATACCAGAACCTAATCTACTCATAAGCCTTTTTATAATCAAAAAATATTTATTTGACCTGTATTCGTTTAACTATGAGATATATTTTAATGTATTTTCTTAAAATCAGTTTCGACTAATCAAAAATAATCAATAAACTATCAATATAGTAATGGCGTTATTAAAACGAATATAATTGAATTCCAGAAAAACAATTCCTAAAGTTATATGTTAGGGTATATCACTTATTATATAGAAGAGTTTAAAAATATTTAATATTTTGATTTACTCTGATGAAAAAAAGTTTAACTATTATTTTATATTACGATGAAAACTTCATCTTTTTTTCTGGAACGATCTGCAGGAAACGCATTGATGTTAAACTTTAAGCTCTGTCAGTTTCACCCAAATGCGTGTGAGCGTGTGTGTGTGTGTGTGTGTGTGTGTGTGTGTATGGTTATGAGTTGGTCACAAACTCAAAGTATTTCGAATAGTTCCGTCGATTAAGCGTCACGATGTCTGAGTCGATCCAAAACTACATCACTAGATCCGTTTAAAATTCGTAACTTTATATATAATTGCCTTCCGGTCGTTTTCCGCGAAGACCATACGACACACGATTACCCGGAGTCACGTGCTGTTATCTCCGGTCGTCACCGACCTGTAACCGCGTGCACACGTCCCATCCTCTCCCACCACGGCCCACTGAAACGATGGTATAATATTAGACCCACGCAACAGTTATTTCTACCGATGTATTTATAATATAGTAAACAAGACGCATAATACAATATCGTAGGTACTTGAACATTTGTACGCGTATAATATTATAATGACGACATAGAGGCACGTTGCGCTTGTTTGTGTCACTTCGATACATATAATATAATATAATTAATTAAATCAAACCTTTTGTGCGTGGCGATACGGTTATATATTGCGCCGGAGCGTTATAAACTACCGAGCAGGGTGTGTGTGTGTGTGTGTGTGTACAGACTTCAAGTACAAAACTCGACAACTGAGTATTACATCGAAATCATTATTTACTACAAGGGCGCAACTAAAAATAAATACATTATACGTATTAAACTGAATAGAGCGCACAATGCTCCACATCATGTGCCCCATCCGGATCGACGGCACAAATAAAAAAAAATCCCACGCTCACGATAATAATTTAGTGCGTATATTGACACAACGCTATGCGTCGATGAGTCCTTTGCAGTTTGGTACCATTGGCAAGGTAAATAATAAAAATAATTGTAACTATTGAATACAATATGTCATAATATATTATTATATTTTATATTATTAACTCGGGCAGACGTCAAGTATGACCCGCCAATGATGTGTACGCGTTATATTATATATTTTGTTTTCATTGTATGATATTGTTTCGTTTTTGAAGCATACTCACCTGTTAGCGGCACTGCAGCCGGTATAATAATGTACATGCCTATAGTATAATAATTGTGTTAACAACGGTTCGGTCACACGATGACGGAAAATAACGACGTAAACCACCAATCGAAAAGCGGATTTCTATCTATATTCATTCGCTTTTCGCATTGTTATAACGTCATAATCTACACACGCGTATGTTTTATTCGGATATTTTTCCCAGTGAATATAATATTAGCGTCGGATGTTATTGACGTGTCCTCCAAACATAATAATAACATTTTAATATAGGTACACGTATATTGCAGTCATTATTAATCAACAACTTCGAGTCGTTATGTTTCTTCTTTGACCGCCTCCGGTGCTAATTTGCCTATATTACACACGTATTCAGTAATACCGATTTCACCCGGTTGATAACATATTATAATAACAATAACCATTAATATATTATATGAACTCGATTTAAGTGCTAGTGCGGGTATTGTCGTATATTATACAAGTACACCTATTTATATATAACTATTTAAATCGATGTACTTATTACACCGGAATCGTTACCGAGGTCTGTTAAGTATCAACACTTTGAATTTACCTCGTACGCACACGCACTGTCCATTTTCATGCGCAAACTGTTCTATACCTACACGTATTAAATTACCCACTTAGTTTTCGTATCTATTAGATTTATGTGCACGCATAAACCTATAACAACCTCTCTGACCTAGAAAATCGTGTTTCAGCTCGTGCGTGTGGGTGGGTGGGTGTGTGTGCGTGTTTTTGTGTGTGTTTGTATAAACCGTTTATGAAGTCAACCAAGAGCTTATCTGTTACAAAGTCGTAGTATTTAGATTCGTCTTATATTTATATACATACCTACACTGTTCTAGAGGATTTTCTAGGTTTTTTCCGTATCGCGAGCGCAAAAAAAAATCTTCGAACAACGTAAAAATAAAAGTAAAAATAAAATATTACAAGACGTGAAGGAGGAATACGTGCTTGGATTGCAATATTGACGATTAAATTCTTAATATTATTTGAGTCGTTTTTCTCACGTCGATTGTGCGTATGTGTTTTTATGGATCAAATTACTATAATGGGCATTCTAACGTTCGTTTATTACGTAATTTGTATACATTTGAACGACCTTTTATGTAATTTGGGTGGTGGCCTTTTGATACAAACAATCAAATAGGCAATTGGACTAGAGCTATCTAGACATAAGTTTTTAGCAATAGTGTCATAAACTGCAGACAGCAAATGTCTTTTTCGATGGACGGGAAATAAAGAGATGAAATCAAAGGAGTTTTTAATATACTTAACTATAACACACACATAAACAAAGTGAATAGTTTTTTGTTTGTTATTACCTATTACAAAATATTTTATCTACTTTTTTCAGCACATTAACCATAAGGTCTACCAGCTTTATAGTGTAGTATAAACAAAAAATAATTTAATCCCATTTTTTGACAGAATAATATTATATACAATTCGCATTTGAAAAAGTCTCTTTTGCTCAGTTCTTGCTATTTTATGATAACTTTTATTCGTTAGGTATACTTTGTAATATTCCACTTTTTTGTTGCTTAAGTATTTGTGTTTTGAAAGGAACTATTTATATAATCAATTGAATGGGTACTTTTGAAGCTAAAGTGAGAAAAAACCAATTTCCTAAAATGTTGAATCAATTATATTTTAGTTCTTATGTAAAAGTATGTAGTCAGTGCGTGGGTGTTGTGTACGGCTGAAGGTAAAGTACAAGGAGGGGAAATCGATACATAAAATAAAAATAATAACAATAACAATTTCAAGTGAAGTTAAATAATGGTAGAATTCCATATAATAATAATTATGACGTAGTTTGTGGCCGAAGTGAAAACGACTATGATATTATTGACTTCGTCCGTTCGTCGACACCGCGGTGCGCTGTTAAATTGCATACACAGAGCGCCGCGCTACAAAAATAAACTAAAAACGAACTAACTCACACAACTACTCGACGTCTTCGGGGCTTAGACTGCATGACTTTAATCGAACCACTTGTATACTGTTCAGTTACCAAACTCGTAAATTCTGACGAAGATCGTGGCACTAATGTAAGCACGGAGTGCGTACAAAAAAAGTGTCACAGGCGACCCTCGGAAGATATGAAAACATATTATATTATATGAGCCTAGAAATATAGATTTATTATGTTGAATCTGAAGTAAATATTCTTAATTTAAAACACGTGCTTTCATATTATTTGTAGAATAGGATTGAACATTTTTTGTAATTATGTTTGTGTAAGTTTTATTTTTCATAACGCTCGAAAATGTTCACTGCCCAAGTGGAAACATCTGAACGCCGTATAAGATGTTTTCACATCAAAAATCACAAGTCCGAAAATATAACTTCCACAGTTAATTAGCTCGGCAAGAATTCCAATCTCGACCTACCTCCGAGGTTGATTCCCACAGTCCGACGTCCGAATCAGACTGTTTGTGGCAAAAGACACAATTTTCGGTGTTTTTTGAAAAACCAGTAGAACTTCAGGTATACAAATCGCCTAGCCTTTCAATAATATTATAATAGGTATCGAGCGTAACGCGGAAACGCTCTGAACGCCGTGTTTTCACACCAATAATAATAACTCGAGTCCCTATCATAATTGCACGTCATAGGTACCTATCGTCGTTTAATTAAAAGCCATACAGCCGGTTTTCGATATAAGTGCGCGTGTACGAGAATGTATATAGCGAGCAGCGTGTTCGCTACCTACTCTAGCCGTTAATTGTTGACTCTGCGAATAATTTGCATATGAGATAATGCCGCGCGTAACGCGGGCGCCCGATAATTATATGCAGCAATAATACCTTCTTTGAAATGTTTTACGTTGTCTTTGTACACATATTTATCTACGTACGCGACTCGACTTGACTCGACTAAATAATTAATAAGACACATACTCGTTCACGCAATTATTATAACAACATCGCGTATAATATGCGTACGTACACACCTACACCCCCAACGTTTACCGGTGTACCTACCCCTACTGTATTCGATATTGTATA